CCCCCCGGGGGGCCCCCCCAAGCCCAAGTGAAGCCAAGCCAGAACCCAGGGGGCTCTCTGTGAAATCCCCCAGCATCTGCTGCAGCGACGGCAGCCCCTCAGAGAACAAACCCCCCAGGGGGCCCTCAGCTGCGGGGGAGGGGGGGCCCCCAGCTGCTGGGGGGGAGGGGGGGCCCCCCGGGGCCCCCATCTCAGCAGCAAACTGCTTCAGCATGGACTCCATCAGGCCCGGGTCTCCGCCAGCAGCATCCCCTGTTAGAGACTGCAGCATTTGAGAGAGAAAATCTTGAGGCAGACCAGCAGCAGCAGCAGCAGCTTGTGCTGCTGCTGCTGCTGCTGCTGCTGCTCTCCCCTTTGCGCGACCCTTTGGCGTAGTGTGTGGGGCCGCATGGGTATATACACACGAGACAAGAGAAAAAGAAAAAAGAAAAATAAAAAAATGTTTTATATACATCTTATTTTTAGGGGGATGAAAATGCAGCAGCAGCAGCTGCCTATACACCGCAGAGGGTGGCGGCGGTGGCAGACTGCTGAGCGAGTCAGAGGCCAAAAAAAACGCCAAAATTACAATAAAAATAAATTAAAATTATTTTATTTAAATTATTTTCTTTTTTTATTCATAAAACCACAAAAATATACACATATTGAGGCCCTATACACCCCAGGGAGAAGAGCACCACCGACGGACTGACCGCTGAGCCGGCGGGGGGCCCCCCAGCTGCGCATACACCCCGTGGTTGCTGCTGTTTTTTTTTGTTTTTTTTTTGTTTTTTGTTTGTTTTTATTTAATTAATAAAATTAAAATATATTTCAAGAGTGTTTACACAAAAAAAAACAAAAAAAGAGAGACCTAGTGGCTCAGGCTGCTAGCTGTGTGGATAGCACCCATGACCGTCGTCGCAGCTACAGAGAAAAGAAGAAAAAAATAAAATAAAAAATTAATTTATTTTATTCTTTTTTTATTTTTTTTATTTTTTAATTATTATTTTATTATTATTTAGGCATTTAAATGTAGTTTACGACGATACAGGCTACAGACACCACCGCATCACCACTGCTGCTGCGGCTGCTCTCGCTGCTGCTGCTGCTGCTGCTGCTGCTGCTCCTGCTGTTGCTGCTGCTGTTGCTGTTACTGCTGCTGTTGCTGGTACTGTTGCTGCTGTTGCTGCTGTTGCTTGCAAAAGGAGGAGGCCCACAAAGGCCAGCCTGGTTTCTGCTGCAGTTGCTGCTGCTGCTGCAGTTGCTGCTGCTGCTGCAGTTGCTGCTGTTGTTGCTGCAGCTTATCGTGCTGCTGCTGCTGCTGCTGCTGCTGTTGCGCCTGTTGTGTTTTTGTTTCATATTTTGTTTGTTTGTCTTCTTTCTGTTTGTGTATATTATACTTTTGTTGTTTCATTGT